GGCATGGCAACTCTATTTAATTCCTCATATTATTCCTTGTGAGGTCCAGGAATATGCAATTAGGTCCACTTTTTTTCTTAAAAACTAAGCAAGATACGAAAATCCAAAGAAATAATAAAAATTGCACAAAAGTCAGTGGCGTACATTTTTAAGTAAAAAATATTCGTTCAAATCCCGCTCGAGACGCCACTGGACTTAATAAATTGAATCACGTTCGGGCTAAATTAGCTCTTTAATGTTATAAATACCATTGCCAAATTACAACAAAATTAGGTAAAGGATATTTAAGATATTTACGAAAAAAACTTTTTTTTATTTCTATTTTAACACCCTCTACCTTGAGAACGAAGGATTTGCGGACCCATGTTTATATGAACATTTCGTCTTAAAATCACCTAAAGAATTATCTGTTGAATGTATGGTACATACTTAATTAACACCATGTATACAGGTTAAATATTACAGTGAGTTTGGATTGGAGGTACCTTATACCTAACGAGGGCTATAAGGGATTTTCTCCCAAGTCCTACCAGATGTAAATATTAATTATTTTTAACAGACTATCTTTTTTTCTGTAGGTTGACAATATGGCTATCAAATAACTGATCATTTAGGTTTGCATTAGGTTTTTATCCCAAGTAATTCAGTGTTACCATATGGTTTTCTACATTTCAGCAAGTGCCAAGCAACAACAACAGCAGCAGCAGCAACAACAACAGCAGCAGCAACAACAGCAACAAAAGTTAGTCGGCAATAACGCTGCAATAATAAATTTGTTAAAAAGTTCGCCGGCCACTAACATTAACAGTGATGCAGTGGTAAACGCTATAAACAATTCGCCTCTATTACCTCAACAAATGCAGACTATTAACCAAAAAATTTTAGCACGTAAAATGACTCTTTCTAATGTAGCTAACGCACGCGTATTGAATCACAGTAATCTGATAGCGTTGAACAATAATAGGTTGAATTTGCAAGACTTGACACAGCTCAGTCAGCAGCAACCGCAGCAACAGCAGCAACCTCAGACTATAACGCTGACTTCTGTGAACAATTCTAACTTCGCGAACTTCACCGCCGTTCCCGTTAAACAGCAAGTGGTTACTCAGAGAATCGTGGGGAGCAGCTCCAGCGAGGGGGGTAACAAGTCTGCCTTATCCGCACTGCTGGTGGGAACCCCGGCTGCTGACAGACCGGACATCGTAGGCCCGAATACCAACTCTCTGCTCTTGGAGAAGCTGGCCGGATCCTCGAACAGCTCCCAAACGAACGCCCACTTCATCCAGAGTCCTAAGAGCAGCCAGCAGTTCATGGTGCAGTCGCCGAAAGCGAACACGGTACTTAGCCCTCTCTCGAGTCCCCCTCCGCAGGCAGCGAATACGATCAATGTCCAGAGCCTCAATTTCGCGCAGTTGCAGAGCATCCCGGGGTTGCAGAATCTGCAGGTGCAGTTGCCAGGATTCGCGCAGCCCATATCGCTGTCGTTGAACGTTTCTTCTGCTGGGAATATTCAGGGGCACCCTACGAGTTTGATAGTGTCTCTTCCGGTTACGACAGCCAGTCAGACTTCTAATACAGTGACGCAGGCTGCCAGTGGTAGCGGAAACATAGGCGGGGTTGGTAATATTGGCGTGGGCCCGCAAACCGTCGTACTGGCCAATGCTGGTACATCTAATCTAGGTGAGTTGACACATTTTTTTCATTGATTTGTTTCTTTTACATTACCTTGGAGTCAACATAAAACACACCCATCATGTACAAGATCTACATTGCTGCTTTGTTTATTCATCTGTTTCGCTGTTTGTATTCAATTTGTTTATTCAAAATGTGTCGCCCTGAAATTCAGCAGAAACTCAAAGAAATATAACGGAAACCCATCAAATTTATTGTAGCGGAATTTTTTGGCAGGTATGCCATTATTGATTTACAGGATCTTTCACGACGAGCGTTCGTTAGGAATATATGGAGAAAAAAAAAAAGATATCAAATTCATGAAGAATGTCCTATAGCTAAAATACACCCCTGGCAAGATATATCCGATTTTGGGAAATATTTGAAATGTAAATCAGTCGAAGCAATACCAAACCAAGAAAGCTTTGAATAAAAATGAAGTTACAACAAATATGTCAAAATTTGATGCGATATAATTGACGTGTATTTCGTAGTTTTCTATTTGTGTGCAAAATGTCTCGTTTGGGGTATTTTAATGAAGATTTCCTGAATTTCCTGAATGTAATATGATAATGGACAGAACTTGTCGTGTTTTTGCAGAAAGATTTCCAAATCTACACAGACCCAATAAAAATATTCTGAGAAGACTTCTGAGAAACTGCCGTGATTTCGGATCTTTTTCGTCTGTCATCAACAAAAAAAAAACCTCGTAAACAATGAGTACATCGAAATTGTAGTTTAGGTCTACTTCACAGCCTATCCAGAAAATTCGTTGAAAGACGCAGAAAAATCACTTAGAATTTCATGTTCGTCAATAAACCGGATTTTAATCAAACATAAGTGGGGTCCCTTTAAATATCACCAGGTTCAAAATCTTAAACCTCACGACTTACCTGCACGAGTGGAATTCTGCGAATGGTTTCTTATCAAGATACAGGAGGACTCTGAGTTCATGAAGAATATTATATGGACAGATGAAGCCAAATTTGCCAAGAATGGTACGTTCAACCGCCATAATAGTCATTTTTGGGCAGCAGAAAATCCAAAGCTCGTTCGCCAGCGCAACTTCCAGGATTCATGGAGTTTTAATGTTTTTTGTGCTATAAAGGAAGACCGAATTTTATGTTTATATCTTTATGAAGAGAATTTGAATAGCGATAGATATTCACATATAATTAGGAACGTGGTTGTTGAATCCATAAGGCATGTTTCTGAACAATACCGTTTCAAGTTATGGTATCAGATGGATGGAGCCCCTGCACATAGTACTGATACCGTTGCTGGGTTGTTGAATGGGATGTTCGAAGATTAGTGGCTTTGCTACAATGGGCCATTTAAATTTCCTCCTCGCTCTCCAGACCTAACGCCACTGGACTTCTTCATCTGGGGATATATCAAAGAAAATGTTCATGCGGATCCTGTGAGTGATAAAGAAAACATGAAACGAAGGGTTCTGAGAGCTTTCAATAATTTGATTCCTGACTCCATACAGAAAGCTACAAATAGTGGTATGCAAAAAAGAATATATTCTTGTTTAGAACAAAACGGCATTGTCTTTGAACATCTGTTGAAATGAACCACAATATTATTTGAATTCAAAGAAATTAAGTTGAATTCTGAAATTAAAGTAAAATCTAACCTTAAAAAATATAAACAAAATAAAATTACTGTATTCGATATCAATAAACAAAGATATAATTCATCTCTCTGATAGTATTTTATTTCGATCCATTCATTTTCATGTTGAATTACCTTTTACCAACGATAAAATTAATATTAGTTCATTTTGAAGCTTTCTTGGTTTGGTATTGTTTCTAATGATTTACATTTCAAATATTTCCCAAAATCGGATATATCTTGCCAGGGGTGTATTTTAGGTATAGGACATTCTTCATGAATTTTTTTTTTCGTAGTATCAAAAAATAATAGAATAGTGTATGGTTTCCATCAGTTTTCTCGATGTTATGTTTATTTAGGTGGAAATTTGATGTATTAACAGCAACATGATCTACGAATTGCAATTACTCGTCAAAGATAACTCTTAGAGCCTTCATTGAAGTGACACATGTAAGTGGATTACCATTAAGAGAGTATGAGGTGTGAATTGTGTAAATTTTTTTCAATACACTACCTATCCAAGCTATTTGAATCATGTTGTAACAGAGTAACATCGTCAAATGTTTGTATTGGTCTGAAAATTTCAAGATCATCTGCAAACATTGGAAAGTTTGAATTTTCAAAACATTCAATAATGTCATCAACAAAGATGTTGAACAAAAGAAGTGCACAATGAGACCCTTGAGGTACTCCCGACGTTGACCTAGCATTTCCTAACCTAACTTGCGGAAATCGGCCAGTCAAGAAATTTCAATTTTGAATGTAGTCAAAGCCCTAACAGGTCTACGTGCTTCACAAATCTTTGTATATTCCAAAGTAGCCTCTTACAATAACGTTTGTATTCCTCCAGCTCAATTGGTAACTTCTTGCGTGAAAGGGGTTTCTCAGCAAGGCGTTAGATCTACCTCAGTTCCCCAAACACTGTCGTTAACTCAGGGAGGTCAACAGTTTCAACTCATAACGCCATTACAGAGGCCAAGAGTTCAACAGGCGTCTGCTCCCCAGCAAACCCTGACTTCCAGGACCCTCCAAAGGACTACTCCAATCACGATCAAGATGGCGACTCCGAACGCAAGTCAGTTGACAGATTTGCAAATTAATTTTGATAATTGACAGTCACTTCAGTCTTTCATTGATCTTAACTAAAAGTCATAAAGCTTAACAGAAATTCAATAACGATAACTGAAAGTAATGCATGCCTTTCTCGATTCAAAAATATTTCCATCATTTGCTTTGACAAGATTTTTACTCTCATCTCAGATGCTTCGCAAACTCCATTACCTTCAAATTCAGCGATAGCAAATCAACTTCAGAAGCAAGCTCAACTGCATCAGTTCCAGCAAATTTGTTTAAATCAGCCCAGCGTATTGGAGAATATCAGGAGGAGGTCGAATACGTCAGATCCGCAGTAGCTTTAGTTTTTAGTTTGGAATTTTGTACATTACATTATGAACTAGTCTCGTTTATGTATCATATTCAACAAAATAGTTTGGTCGCAGAGTACTTTACTACTGTTTAAACTGCCATCCATTGAAATGTATTAGCTCAAACCAAGTTACGATATAGGGAGATGGTAGGATGACTTTGATTGGAATTGATAATTCGAAATATTAGGTATCGGTGTTACTGTCAAAGTCTTTTCCCTCTTCACCGACTTCAAGGTGTGATTCATCGATGAAGGTGTGAAAGACAAGCTTGAGAACACTTTAAAAGGACAATCAAAATTTTTTGGCGAAAAGTACTTTTTTCAACGAAACATCAAGGGTTTCAAATCTGTATGATCACGAGGAGACAAATTCAGTTTATTCTTTGAAGAATTTACTTTTGAATATCAAATCCAGTTCAAGAATGAAGGTAACGTTTCTAGATTAGCAAAAAAAAATCATAATTCCATGGACTTCTGAGTTTTGCAATATTTATGCTTCGTCAAATGACATGTATGAAGGTTATCCAAGTATGAATATTTAAAATTTCTCTATTTTGTCATTCAACTCTAACACTGGGCCTTTAGTTTATTGCCTTAGTAGTAAACGAAGATTGGCAGTCAAACTTTATTCTCAAAAGGGATTTTGTGTTTTTAAAAATTATACAAACGAGTTTTTGGTGATGTAAGGAGCCACATTTTACCAGAAAAACTCCATCAGAGTAAATATATTTACTTCCACCATTAGGGCTTCCTGACAGTGCCCCAATTTGAAGCAGATTTTTGAAATATTTACAGTAAAATTCAAGCAATTTGAGAAGATAAATTGTATTGAGCTTTTTAGATATATACTAAAAATAAGTTGAATTTGCCTCTGACTTATTTCTCATCAGTTTCTAATCCCTGCATCACATTTTGGAAAAAATCTCTCTGATTATATCCGTGCAAAATGATTATTTGATTAGATAATTTAAAGCTATTTTGACAATTTTTTGAAACAAATACTGCACAAATTCTGATTTAGCAAATTATTTTCTAAGATCAGTTTTTCTAATTTTCCCCAAAATTCAGATTGAAAATTGGAAAAAAAACAATGAAATATTTGCTTCTAATGTGAGAAAACTGAACTGTGTATTTAAAACAACTTTTCCTCTTGTTGTTTGCCATGGTTTTGACAAATTAGGAACTTTAAACTGTTTTTTCACTGATGGAAGTTTTTTTATTTCTTGTTGAAGTAGCACTGATATCTAATTTTGAGTTCTCAATCCACCAGTAACATGAAGAATGTTGCATAAAGTTGTCAACTACTGCCTCATACACTGTGTAGTTAGTTGTTCCTTCATTTAAGTTTCTTTTATCACATATAATCCTTCATTTGACAGTATTACTAATTTAGTAGTAGTAGTAATTTATGCTATATTCACTTTCCCTCCTGGACTTTATAAACACACTTGAAACTCCTTAAATGAATGACACCTTTGCAGAAAATTTTTTGAAATTGGGTATACAGTGAGTTTACATTATAACAGTTGGTCTGAAATGTCTGTAGGCTAACATAGAATCATTTACTTTTGAAAAAAAATGATTTTATTATCTGATATAGTTGCCTTCGATACCATTTTTATAGAACGATTTGCCTTAAGCCTCAAAATAGGCCTCTGTTTCGACGATTACCTCTTTCTCGGCGTTAAATTTCTTTCCAGCGAGCATTCTCTTGAGGTCTGAGAACAGGAAAAAATCGCTGGGGGCCAGATCTGGAGAATACGGTGGATGTGGAAGCAATTCAAAGCCCAATTCATGCAATTTTGCCATCGTTCTAATTGAGTGCATTTTCTTGATGAAGCAGAACTTTCGTTTTCTCAAAATGCTCCTATAACTCTTATGTATTGTCGCTGTTGATGGATATTATACCATGCGCATCTCAAAATACCAGTATTCATAACTTTGCCAGCTGACTATTGCGTTTTTGCACGCTTTGGAGTTGGTTCACCACGTGCAGTCCACTCAGGTGATGTCGGGTCGATTCTGGTGTGAAATGATGGAGCTATGCTTCATCCATTGTTAAATATCGGCGTGTATGAATTCGGGTTTGTCAGGGTGGAACAGCTTCAAACACTGCTCAGAATCAATTCGTTGTTGTTTTTGGTTGATTGTGAGCTCGCGTGGCACTCACTTTGAACAGAACTTTCGCATAATCAAATATTCATGAACGATACGTTCAACACATTCTTTTGATATCCCTTTAATAATAATAATAATCTTTATTTCAAAGATATGCCGACTATTACAGCTTGTACACAGACAACATAGAATGAAATAATGTCAACAAAAAAAAGAAAAAGACTACATATACTTATAAATATATACATTTCTATAATTCGGTTTGGTCTAAATGGTTACTAACACTATATGGTTCTAAATCTATAAAATATTTTTTTATTTCTTTCTTAGATTTCTTTATGCTCCTCAAATCTTTGATTCGATTAGGCAATTTATTGTACAGCTTCATTGACATGTAACGAGGAGTTTTTTCTGTTATGGTTAACCTATGTATAGGTTAGCTATCTACGCTAGCTATCTTGATCAACTTCACTTTGCGGTTATTCAAAATTATTTTGTGGACTTTTTCGATGTTTTCCTCAGTAATAGCCTCTTTGGGGCGGCCACTGCGTGCATCTTTCTTATTGCTCATTTCACCTTGTTTCAACTTAGCAAACCACTTCTCAACGGTTGATTTTTCGTGTAGCAACATCCGAATAAAGTTTATTAACCCAACCCTTGGTTTCAACAGTATTTTTTTTCGGCAAAAAGCAATGTTTTATTAACACACGTCAAAGCTTTTTTCCTGGTTTCTTGGCCGTGGTCTGCAGGTTTTTATGCCTGACGTTTCGTCAACTACTGCGGTAGACAGTATAAAAGACGATGTTCCCGTTGTTCCCAACGCAGAAACTACAAAATATTGATAACCGTTAAGGACATCTCCGTTTGGACTAAAATATACAAAAAAAATTCAATCAATATTTTCAAGTAGGTACTGTTTTCATTATAGACGATATTTTTATTGCTGTTTAAGAGGCAGTTGAAAAAATGATTTTAATTGAATTTTATGTCGGATGATACTTTTGAGAGATGGTTTATCCTACAATACAAACATTATTTTGTATTGTATTTCAAATATTTCGAAATGAAATCTCGTAACATTTATCTCTCCCAAATACCTACACCGTAGGTTCTAGTAAATGCCAGCCAGAAAAAACTACTTCCCCGGCTAATACCACTCGGGATATTGTATTATATCAGACAGACATTTATGCAAGATACTTCAACGAGGTTAGTCTCGCAGATGTTCCTCGTTCATCCAGCAACAGAACCATGCTGAAATTATTCGAGACGACCTATTTCGAGGTATTACCTCTTGTCAGTGGGGGAAAGATCCGACCCAAACAGGAAAGTGTCTGGGACTCAAATAAATTTCAACGCAGCTTGACTGCATGCACAAAATCTTCGTCTAAGACAAAGTTTGTCAACTAGTAACAGCTCTGTCAATATACTTCAATATCCAGAGTGGTATTAGCCAGGAAAGTAGTTGTTTTCCGGCAGGCATTCACCAGAACCTACGGTGTAGGTAGTTGGAAAAGATTAATGTTTTGAGAATTGTTTTCAAAATATTTATTTCCTTATATGTGTCTTGATACAGTTTTCAGACATGTGAAAAGTCATTTTGTTTCGGAAATATAAAAATTTTGAATTTGCCAAGATCAAAAAGTTTTCTGCGAGGTTCATACTCGCTGCAGAATGGAATATTTTCTATATCGTGACTGGGTTTGAATTTTGTTCAGGAGATATTTTGATCTCAAAATACTGCAATGCGTTGCACGATTGTTGTGGTTCCTACGAGTTGAAGGCATGTCGGTGCCAAAAATAACCTGTGACAGTTTTCCATAAAATCATTTTATTTGTACAGTCAGTGTGGCTTCAGAACTTGTCTTCTCTTTCGAGGCAGTACAAAGTAATTTTATCATTTGTTACAAAGGAACGATAATATGTATTGTGTAAAGTCGCGGTTTTAATTATTACTTTATATTATATATTTTTTTACAATATAGGGATGTAAATATTAGGAAAATGTATGATAATTATTTATTCTCAATTTACCAATTTTCAACGAACATTAATTTCTGTAGGATAAAAGTTTTGCGACATGTATATATTTTTAATTTGAAATTCCGCCCCTTTGTTCAATAATTGGTTCAGATCATTTTTGTGATGTTTTTTCTTCAGGAAGTTATTGTATCATTGTTATATTTTAATAATTTACTTGTTTTTTCTGCTGTTGGGTGTTGTGCATGTTTTTAATTTATTATGTTATTGTAGCTTAATTGAAAATGTTTTCGCACATATCTGTATATAGCGGGGATACCAAAGGTAAGACCATATTTATATATTTTTAATTTGAAATTCCGCCCCTTTGTTCCATAAACTGAATGACAACAACAAAAATGACGGTAATAATATAAATGCTAATTTTTGAGTATCCCCTTCTTTAGTTGGTCTTCCCAGGTTGTGACTTTTTCAAATGATACCTGAAATCGATTTACACTTTTTAATCTTTTACACACAACATTAAAATGTGATACGGTGCTGAAAATCATTTACTGATACTTGTTTACAATTTTTTAAACTTTTTAAAAAATTATTTTTCTATTTACTGAAATAGTTCAAAGTTATATAAAACCTTACTCTGTATTATAGAAAATGAGCCTATGTATGAATCTAATATACTCCACTTTCTCTAGTCAATCTTATCACATCCTTCTGTGTAACTAAACTGTGGTAATTGTTTGCACGCACTTACCGTTTTCTCTAGATTCATTTGGAATAATCAATAGATACAGTGGTAATGGGTGTTTCGAAAATATAGCATTTCTTTTTAGGTGATTCCCTTTCATTGGTTTCTATATGGAACGGTACCGAGCCAGTGAAACATGAACTTGGTTAATGTAGACAGAATGGAAGGAAATAATCACTTTGGTATAATGGAGACTCAGAAATATTCTTGATTTATAAGAAGTGAGTCAACGTGAAAAAACCATCAATTTTTTATGTGTAACACGGCCATTTGTGAATTCCTTTCAATTTGTATGACATCGATGTTGATGTACTAATAAAAAAAAAATCCTGTGGGCTGTGGACTGTAATATTGACAAAAACTTCATCTTATAGTAGAAATGTATTTCTTTGAAACATCTAGATATGTGAAACACAGTTGCTTTCTAGCCTTTCAAATACTTTGTTTGTATGTCACCTCCACCATTCATTGCCAGTTGCGAAGAAAATAGTACTCCCTGTTCAAAAACCATTCACAGCATTTTTTGTGTGTGAATTTTCTATGAGGTATTAAGAATAGTTTTCTTATACAGTTTATCAGTGAATTTTGAGTTTTATCTAATGTAATCATTGTGATTTATTTTAGATTCTTTCACCAAAAACTGAAAATTCATCAGGCTCATTTTCAGCGATACAATTTCGAAAACTGAGTTTCTTGAAAACATCGAATGAATTTATACAATAAATTTGTTTTTATTTCTCACTATAGTGAATTTGTAATTTTTTTATACCCTGTATTTCATTAATTGCCGATTTACAGAAAAACAGGTTGTCATGTCTTGTAAACCACTTGATACGACTTGTTTTTTTAGTATATAAATGATATAGGTACGCTTTTAATGATGTGATTTTCAGGATCAGTATCAGTCAACTTGAACAAGCTGTCACTTTATTGAAAGTTGAGTACACTTTTGCCGTTTTTGCGAATGAAAATTGTATATTTTTGTGTGGCGACTGGTTCGGAAACCTTTTTTTTTTGATAAAGTTGGAAGCCGAAAAAAAGGTTTTCGAACGACTCACCGCAACAGGTGGTGGAACGTAACCTCAAAAACTGATGTAAAAATATCTGTACATAAGAGGATCTCAGTTGTGTATCTATAGAAGTGTAAGTACTTGGGTTGATATAACTGTTCTGGTCTTTTTGGTAGACTCCAAATAATGGGAAGGTTCTGAAATCATATGTATTTTTTGCTGTAAAGTATGAATGGGAAAAATTGATAAAAAATTGTTGAAAACTCTAACAAAAAATCGTGAAAATAATGTATAGTGTACTTCTAGGGTATGATAACTATTAGGTGGTGCATTGTAATAAATGTATGTATCATTTTGAACATATTTGTTTGTACATATTTTGACCAATTATATTTTTGCAATAATAAGTATCTCGGTTACTTTGAGAACGATGTTGTTTTTTTAACTATTTATATTTGACACGACAGTAAATATTGTATAAATGTAAAGACAATAGTTTTAAATTTAGTTGATATGATCACTCATCTGAATATAGAACTGACCTTATAATTAAATTTTCAGGTGATCACTTTTTTATAAATTCAGTGAGGGAGATATGATAAATATATGTTACAAACTATTAAATAAATAGTGAAATACATTTTTTAAATTGTAGTTTCAATTATTTATACCGTGATCCAACTGGAACGCTTCAAAATCATCAGGTAAGAAAATTTCAAACAGCAATTGAGCTTTTGCTTTGTCAGAAACTCGACGCGAGAAATGAGATTGAGCGAACTTTGTAAATATGTTGGCAGACCGTGCAAGACTCGAAATCTGAAGCACGTTTTGTTGTTTATGGATCATAAACTAAAAAAAATCTTTCATTCCAAAGTGTAAACAACATTGAAATGAAATGGCAACGTGACATTTTAAAGCTCAGTCACTTGAGCACCTCTGTGGATCCCTTAATATTGGTTGTTTCAGTTTTGTCCGTTTTCATAGTCAACATCAAACTGCCCCCTCCCGGGTTGAGTGCCCTGGAGTAAAAACTTCGCCCCACAAAATAAATTTTGTGAGGAAAACTTAATACACCATTCCATCCATCCCCGCTCCTCCTGGAGCGGTCCTCAATCCTACTGATGGGCACTTCAGCAAGATTGAAATTTGACCTTCTTTGGTCGAAAGTCAGCCTTTAGGTGCTTTTACTTTCTGATCTGTTAAACTGATTCATCATGACTTTCCTAACTGAATTGTTGCATGGGGTCCCCAAAAACTAACCGGAGACGAGTGTCTTTTTAATATGTGTCACATGATCATATATATTTATTAGAAAACCATTACAGAAATAATAACATCTTTTTACAAAATAAAATTTAGCTTTCTAGCTTTCTTTGCAGCAAACAAATCAATTACCTACTTCCTCGGTGTCGATGTCAATTCTACGGTGGATTAACATTAACGCCAAACCGTTTAGTCGTCCCTGGCTTGTGGAGTTTCTTAAATGAGCTTTGAGGCGTTTCAGAGAAGAGAAAGTCCTTTCAGAGGTACATGTGGAAACAGGTAGTGTCGCCAAGATCTTTGAAAGTTTGTACGCACATTGCCGTAAGGTTTTTCCATTGTGTTTCGGGGAAGTTTTTTTCAATATTCTCTTTCAAGTATTTGGTTCGTTTTGCTAAGGACTTGATGAAATTTCTAACAGATTTTATAATTTCAATTGTATCTGTAGAGTAGGGAGGGTGAGTGTAAGCCCACAGCATTTAGGCCTCATGTGACCCATTGTACATCCTCCCAAGGAGTTGTCCTCTTAGGTCATCGTCGATCCTGTCCTTTCCAAGAAGGTGGACAGGTCACTAGGAAATATCTCCTTTATATCGGCAGGTGTAGGCCAAGACTCGCCGAACACACACTCTCTTATTGACGATAACTCCGGGCACTCGCACAGGACATGCCTGACAGTCTCATCTTCCTGTTTACACATCCTGCATAGAGGTGTATCTACTAGCCCCATATTATGGATGTGTTTTTTTAATTGACAGTGGCCAAGCGTAGATTTTTCCTGGTCATCGCTAGATATTTCTTCGGTGACAGCTTCCTAGGATCGCCCAGGGTGGTCATGGCAAGATTGCATCCTTTGATTTCATCCCATCTCTTTAGGGATTGATCATGGATGTGACGTTTGGCTAGTTCCGCAATTGTCGAAGTCATCAGGCCGTAGGTACCACTGGGTACTAAAATTCTTAGTCCAGCAGCTTCCTTGGCTAAAGAGTCGGCAATGCAATTACCTTTACTCTTGTCTTCCACCCAAGGATAGTGTTATTATCTACCGAGGCGTTGGCTAAATCTTGGTGGCACTCTAGTACTAGGTCTAGTCTTTACTGGTTATTTATTTTGTGGCAATTGAGATACCAGCCAGTTCTGTTTGGACCACGCTGGTATTTCTTCCCATTCCCCACTTAATCCTTAGGCTTAGTGATCTGTGGAGTACACTCCACATCCTGAGTCTTCTTTGGTTTTTGAGCCGTCTGTATATATGCGTATTGCATTTGTAGCATCTGACTGTGTTGTGTTTTATTTGTATTTTGTAGGGTTTATTAAACACAAACCTGGGTACAATTGCATCACTGGTCGCCTGCAGCAGAGGTTGCGCAGTGAGCGCTTCTCGCCACAGGCTCAGCCTCAATTGACCCATTCCTACTTTGAAGTTTATACCAGCTATGTGCAATCGTAACATGGCCATTAACGCAAACAGGCCAATCGTTGTATTTGATATAATTTTTGGATGGCCGTTGCTTGTAAAATTTTCGGGGGGGGTATCAATCTCCTTTGATCCCCCCCTGGCTATGGCCTTGCATACCACCATCAAACTGTAATCTCTCAGTAAATACTTATTCAATTCAATCGAAATAAGCGCCATTTGAATTGGTGCAGTTTTGCCAACGCAACACAAGTCGATTAATTCTGTCGGCATAACAATTGCATGCTCGGGATTCGATGTAGTCGACGTAGGCCGTTTTTGCCTGGTCCTGATTGGCGAAGGTTCTACTGGTGAGAAAATATTCGAAGTGCTTGAAAAGTTGGTAGTCGGTTGACGAGAGGTCTGGGAGGTATGGAGGGTGAGGCTCAATTTGTGAAACGTGTGGTTGGACATTGTCATGGAGCAGGATCGGACCTCTTTTGTTGACCAGTGCCGGCTGCTGCTGACGCAGGGCCTCTTTTTGGTGGATTTTCGCCTTTGTAAAGTATCTGGGTGGCTCATGGGTGTCCAGCCACTGTCCTGAACCTCTCCTGTTGTCGTAGATGATCCACTTTTCATCACACGTGACGATCCGACCCAAAAAAGGTTCGTTTTGGTTGCGCAAAAGCAAAGAGGAATAGATCTCGAAACGTGACAATTTCTGTCGATCATTTAAATCGTGGGGCACCCACTTTTCGAGCTTTTCGCCCGTACTGATACGTTTCAAACCATCAAAAATCGCATTCTCCACCAAGGTCCTCAAATCCTCGTCCTGGTTTACTGTAGGTCGACCACTGAGGGGCTCATCTTCAAGGCTGAAATTTTTGGAACGAAATTTTGCAAACCAATATCGAACAGTGGGTTTATTACCACTACCATTGCCAAATGACTGGTTAATTTTTCGGGCTGTTCCGACTACGTTTTAGTTCAATTTGAATTTGTAGAGGAAAATTGGCCAAAAACCGCTTAACGACATCATCTAGTTTTTAACAACATTTTTAACATGGGAAAGCGTTCGAGAGATCACGCCAGGGATACACTATGCATCTTGAAGAGGACTCACACGTGACTTTGGTAAAATGTGACACACATGAATCGTTATATACGCGCCACGTGCCGATTTCTACGGGTGTGATATCTACGGTGAGAGGTTGGGAAGTCGCAGCAACATTCAATTTGCCACTGAATTCTTCTTTTGAAAAAAAATTCCTTTGAATCCACGACACAAATTCTGGGTGACAGGTGGATTGTTGGCGATTTCATGCATCTCCTTCTTTCTTTGTATTTAGAACACGACGAGGAGTGATCACAAGATGTATATTTCAACATAATATACTAATCTAAAGAAATTAACTTTAAATGTTCAAGTCAGTCTCGGATATACCTACGCAGTAGGTTGAATGGACTGACGCCTATCAGAAAACAACTACTCCACTGGCTAATACCACGAACGGAGTTGGATTATATCCGACAGGCGACAACTGAAAGAGTCGACCTTCAATTTTGAAACGGGCACACTTGCAGACCGGTTTCGGGCTCCTTAGCCAATCGTCAGTGAAAGATAGTGTCTATCATCGACATAAAGTCAATGATATTCCATAATTGAAAATCGAAATTTGTTTAGAGTATTTCATTCCTCGTCATAAGTTGGAGCAAACAACAAAAATGTCACTCCATCTTGTGGACGAGCTACTAACAACTGCTTATCCAAAATTTGCCCGATTCCTCTGAATAAGGAAGAAAAACTTTCTTATTAGTCAGTGGGATATGCTTTAAGACTGGCACTAAACACATCTAAAGAAATGAACTTTAAATGTTCAAGCCAGTCTCGGATATACCCACACATTAGGTTGAATGGACTGACGCCTATCAGAAAACAACTACTCCACTGGCTAATATCAGTTGTATTGCTAATTGCATATGCAGGAAATTTTCTGTGAAGATTCCTGCACTGACGCCTGTCGGATATAATCCAAAGCCGTTCGTGGCATCTTAATAATAATGATAATATTTATTAACGTCATCAAATTTTCAATAAATATTGACATTTGTAACATAAATTACAAAACATAGTACACATATTAGTACATCGAACATGTACATGTGACAAATAACAAGAGGCATGTTGAAGCTCTTCGGTGCAAGATATTCTTCAATGTGATAAATCAATGATTCAATAGGTATAGGATAGAGAAAATAACTTTTGTCTAATTTCTACTAAAATTTTTATTTGTTACGACGGGTTTCGGTTTATTAAACTATTGTTTGTCAAACGGAGTTTTACATAATCTGAGATACCAAAGCAATTATTGTTTAACTTCTATCGAAAATCGAAATTACTGAATATTGATGCAAAAACATTGCTTGTGGATCCTAAACTAGTTGCCTAAATTCACAAATTCAGAAGGAGAGAGCTGCATATAGTTCTAGTTGGGCATTGAGGGTTTTGAAATTGGGTTTTTTATTCAATTTATTCATTTCCAATGCTTCCAACAAATTCATTTCTCTTCCTTTATTGCACGTACGAAGAATTTTCACGTTTTCTTTATTTATTGTGGTTTGATAAACTGATAGTAAGGATAAACTTTGAGGCATGCCATTGAAATATAACAAAAATGGCAGAGGGCACCAAATGGATCATTGAGGAATACCTAATTTTTTATTTATAGTGGCAAATCAGTCTACCACTGGCTGACTCCCGCCTGTCAAAAAAGACAAACTGTTTCAGAGATAAACCTCGAACACCGTAAAGTTCGAGATTTTTCAGCAGAATATCACGATCCAGTGAGTGTTCTTCGAAGAAGAAAGAGAAAAACCTTTTTTTTGTCAAAATACTGCTTGCTCTCTGTTGAAAAAAATTCATTTTCGAATTGATAGAATTTTATTCGCTTGATTGAAACCCAGACAATCTATTAATGATGTTGAAAATTAAGGGAACATTCGTGACTTTTATCTACTCGATAAATACTTGATAACGTTTTTGAATAACTTGTCTCTGATTTTTTTGAAAGTGACGGAAATGGCGAACTATAATTAGAGAAGTGAGCCCAAAGACAGTTTTTTATAATGACTTTTATTTGCAGTGTTTGAAATCCAACGTAAATAGTAGAAAGAATTAAAAATCTTGAATTGCTTTTTTCTCTCTTTCGGTCGTTTACGAAAGACTCGATGAGAACGGCTCATGCGCAAATTGCACTCCGGGATATTCATTCGCAGACTCCGGCAAAACCTCGTAGGCGGGCGTGGAAATTTGGAAATGACTTGTGAAAATCAGTTTCGTTTCAAACATTAAAGAGGTAAGTGATCGTTCAATAATTTACAACACTTCTAATTTGTTTCCTAACTCTGCATGCGGCCGTAATACAATTACGCAACTGGAGAAAAAATGTTTCGATCGATATTCGGAAAATCGTTGCTTTGTGTAAATTAGACACATCACTGATGAAAATCTGTCGCTAGATAGAATTAGATAGCTGTGATGGTTGTGCTGCGGGTATGATTCTAACATTTCAGACTAGATTTCGCTTTTCACTTACTTTATTGATCCATCACAGTGTGGTGTATAGATGTGTACGCGCAATAACAGAAAGGTGTTATCTTTCGTTCCGACCCACTTTCCACTTGAATTTCATAACAGGTGAATTGGTGTTTCGTTCGAGCTGAAATACGTCAGCCTTACGTTCGATAAACCGAGTAAAGGAATAGGATATTAACGTAGATAATATTTCAAATATGGATTAGCATGCTTTGACGTCAGTTTTTTCTACCGCGACGTATCTAAGAAAGGGCCAGCAAAAGCAGGTCAAGCTGTATTTTTCCGGGTCTTTTTATAATCAAATTGGCGATTTTTCTTCATGTCCCAATTTTGGTACTGTTCGAATTTTTGGAAAAAGGTTAATGCTTCCCTTGTAGATAACACAAAATGAACATTTCAATCGATTCTAAGGATGCAACCGTAAGTATAAACTTTGATATATAGATTGACAATCTCTTTATTTTTTGAAAAAGAAAGGTTTCGATTTTCTACTTCTCCATCTTTATACAAAAAAAGGAATGAATGTCATTCTGGTTCGGAACAGTGTTCCGAGCTTTTGAGAAGCAGCCTTTGCAATTTCAGCGACATGATTGTGCCAAGACATATTTTTTGAGAAAAATGAAAATTCACCTTATTTTGGAACAAACTTCCTATGTCATTTCATTTCAAAAATCCAACCAACCTTAACCAAACTTTGATACGCCATTGGGTACCCAGTATATTAGAGTTTATTTAAGAAAAGCCCAATGCATTCGTGTCTGAAACTTTTGAATGGAATATTTTTCGATAACTTCACTCCTTCATCTCAAAGTTCTGATGGAAGAATTTTGTGACACACACTGTATGTCCTAAGTTTTCAGAAAACGATCCTCAAATGACAAACTTGAGTAAGTAATGACGATTTCAATTATGGTTCGCAACACAAGGGCAATTTTTGTTGTAGGTACTACATAAATATTTATTCTTGGAAGTGACGTCCTTGTGGAACTTGCACTGAATAATTTTGATGAGAAAAGTGATATCACTTTATTGAGAAGTATTTTTAAAATCCCATTTCTATCTCAGAAAATCCGGTCTCTTGATTTTTTTGTTGAAGTACTGTTGTTACTGGTTACCAAAAATGAAAAACATCACATATGCACGGTGTCACCAACAGGAGCTAACCGCACATTTGTGGTTTCAATTAGAAGACCTAGGCATCATCTAACATTGGCTGCACCGCGCTGATGAGGTCAATAGCCAGAAACACGTGTCCACGGTTTGCCCCTATTTTTTGAGTGTTCTGTCCACGAATTTTCCCCTTTTGATTTATATCATACACACTCGTTAATATTTATATCTCTGTATTTATATCCTGGACCCAGAAGTCACGCAGGTAGCTATAGCTGCCTACGTGGTGATGTTAGATGATGCCTGGGAATTCTAGGTCTTCTAATTGAAACCACAAATGTGAGGTTAGCTCCAAGAAAATCAACGTTAAAATCAATCAATCGAGGTTATACTTCGAAGTCAACGAACATGCCAGCGGTGATGTCTGCCGCAGTAGCAGACGAAACGTTTCGTACTTTAGGTTCTATTCGACCACTGTTTATCCGGAATTTGTACTTTCAATTATGACTTTGGCTGTGAAAGCCAATGTTCTTATATTTATTGTTTGTTTGCAGATTCTTCAAACAAATGTATAACGGCTGATTACTTAAAAAGGGCCAATGTTGGATAGAGAATCGAAAGAGCTATCATATGAGCTTACACAAACCTCTATTTTCATTTAAAAATGTTGTTAGTGCCCTCTTGGCGACGAGTGATGAAACACCATTGTGTTTCTTATACAAAAGTACTGAAAATGATACATTCTCATGTGCATTTTGTCCGATCTTGACATGTGGTACCATTCGAAAGAGGTGGGGGCATTTTACATCTGCACTGGTATAGCAGATACTTTCACCAAACTAGTCTTGGGTTATTGGGGTCAAGACCTTCCCCCCGGGCTAGTACTTTCAATATTCAATTAATTTGATATAATATTTTGTTTGACGGCAAACGCATTATTCGGGTACGAACACTTCGAAAATTTGAATTTTACCGCGTCACCGCCATGGCTGCCACCTTTCATTTGTCATGTCATATTTCGTATGACACTTGTGCGCTTTTTGTTTCGACATATGTCTAGCTAGATCTAACCTCAATCGGAACGACTAAACTTTAGTTATAAGGTACGAAGTTGAAAAAACTTCAAAATTCCAATATAAGTAATAGAAGACGTTAAAAAAAAAGGAAACATTGATTTTGTTATTTAAATATAGGTAGGTATTTTTAAATATACCTAGTACTAACATTTATTAATAAAATACCTACTTTTCACTTGTATCTATTAGTATTAAAATTCTTCTGACTTGACCACGACAATGTGACCCCCTCTGGCGCCAAAGCTGGATCGTCCCTTGCGTAACATTCCAACATTGTGAGCTATTGAAATCTTTCATATTGATTATAATGCATCTATATCAAGCAAGATATTTGTAATCAATTAATTAATCCTTATGAATCTCTCTCTAAATATAAAGATCACTGCGAGAATCTGGTAATTTTTGGAGTATTTCTTGAACGAATTTCGGCTCTTAATTCGCTCGGCTCGGCAGTTACATAACATATTTCTGATTCTATCGGATCAGTACATGACATATAAATTTTGCAGCTTCAAAACCTACCTATAGTAATAACTCTAATGGCATGGTACTCAGAAGACAGTTTTTTGACGAATTTTAAGTTATTAATATGTAAAATTTAGTTTTAATTTTTTTTCAATATGCTCTTATACAATTTTGCTTCTCAGAATTGGTGTCGTATATTTAATAAAACTTTCTAGATTATAAAAACTTACGAAAGAAAGCGAAAGCATGAATGATTTCCCAGTTTTGAAATTAGTTATAACAGATGGAACGACAGACAAATGAGTTCTTTGCAGGAAAATGTTCATATGACCAATCACCCTGTAGAATTCATATCAGGGAAACCGAAATTATCAACACTCCCTCGTAACCCTCATTAAAGTTTGCTTCATTTAATTTCTCGTTCAATATAAGATAATTGAATAAAGGTTGTAATTGATTGAATGGATACAATTGCAATTAAATCTGAATACAAAGTTAGCTATAAGGGTTAGTTGGCGTAGACATGTCGTCATTAGCGTCGCGACGCCTCTCCTTTTTCTAGCAAGACTCATTCAGCTAACTGAATGAGACTCCCATTTAATTGAAATTTTATTTATGGAACTCGTCTGAACCTGTTCAAGGGATGCGAGCAAAAAAGTTTACGAGAATGACGAAATACGGTGTCATCGTTACTGCTAGCGATTTGGGAGGATTATTTTCTCATTGATTATGCCCAAGGACGAGACTTAATGCAGACTAGGTTGTTCTGGTTGTTCAGAGAAATTGAGGATTAGGAGAACACTTCGAGTTGGAGGAAAAAAAAATCGTTTCTGTAACAGTAAATCGATTTAAGAAGACATATTTTCAAAAACTTGCTTAGACTTAATGGATTTTGAAGTGAGGGTTTCTCTAGAGCAGGGGTGGCTGACTTAATTTGACCCAAGATCTACTATTTGTGCGAGCATTGCGTCTGAGCCTCTTCCGCTAATACACAGTTGCCATTTTCTCCTTTCTAGAGAATGCATACTCTGGCATAGATTATGGCAAGGCTGTTGCAGCAGTTTTTTGTGATTTCTCGAAACCTTTCGATTGCGTTAATCATAAGACACTGCTGTGGAAGCTCAGCCATGCAAAAAAGGAACAAGTTTGACCAGGTTTGTTTCATATTTGACAGGACGTCGACAGGTGGTGAATACATCACGTGGAGAGTCTGATCTCAGTGACATAGAACATGGAGTACCTCAGGGGTCTATTTTAGGACCAATGTTGTTTTTAATATACTTAAATGACCTAATAACCATTAACATCAAAATCAAAAATCAAAATTTATTTAATTCAGATTAATTTAAAATATAAACCGTTACAACTTACATCTATGAAGGATCGTGGCTATCTAAGCCAAGCTTGTGTTACAGCCACGAATCCAATACAAACAATACATTTACAAACTAAGATGAACCTACTAAATAGTTCTGGAAAGTCCTAGACGGACGACCAAAATGATGAGCAGTCTTTTAGCATAACTAGAGCATCAAATACGAAAGAAGAAACAGAAACAACAACATCGCAGGACAATTTACTGTATTTGCCGACGATACCGCTATTATATGAAGTAATAAAGAAATTAATCAGCTATCAAGTGTGATAAAGATAGATATTCAAAAATTCAAGCCTGGTGTAACGCGAACTCCTTGTGCTTCAACCTAAACAAAACAAGTTACTTTCAAATGTACACTAAACAATTTTGATTTGGATAACCACCACATTTGAGTAAAAAAGTATCTAGTGGATGTTATGCTATTAGAGTGATATCAAATGAACTAGGGTATACGACAGCTAGGATAGCTTACTTTGCTTTGATCAAATCTCATATTGGCTACAGAAGAGGTCTTTGAGATACCTTACAAAGTCTAAGCCAGGAGATCACTGCAAGCCTTCATTCATTCACAAAATATTGACTGTCACCAGTTTTTACATAATGGATACAGTATGCTTAATTCATAAAAATAAAACCAGCATGTACACCATACCATATACCATACTGGTATACAAGTATACCATACATAGATACAGGTATCTACCTGTTCTAGTGTCTTAAATTAATTTTACAATTTGCCTTATCTATTTATCTTAAACTAATTTTACAATGTGTCCTTATGTAATAGTCAAGTAAATCTAATAATTGAAATATTCTAAACCATATAAAATTAATTTCATATATTGCCTCACACTCAAGACACGGGTACCTAGATCAGGTAGATACCTGTATCTATGTATGGTATACCTGTATGGTATGAATAAGGATAGCTTTGTAAGTATTATTAATTTAATCTTCCTCTTGAAGATGATCACCAAGTGATCGAAACACGTGTCGAGGAGTTAAAATAATGGTTTGGTGTTGGGAAAAACTCCAGTGATATTCAATATACTCTGGACAACCTTTTTTTCATGAAATGAAGTAATTTTTGAACAATGACACTGTGGAGTATATCCTTTTTGAAAATGATTCACCTGTAATTAATGTTTCCAGTACATTTGACGGTTGACAATTAACAACAGCTCAATTTCATTATTACTTCACCAAAAATAGACCGTATTCATTATTCATAACCCACATTCTGGGACGATAAGGTTTTGTTTATCAGTTCTATTTTCCGGTGGAACAACGTACACCTATGAGCATATGTAGTGAATAGTTTTTTAATGAAATGTCGCGTTAATTTTCGTTTCGAAAATTGTACAAACCATGGGCATATGAGAGTTGGTTCGCGAGTGGGTGAATCCTGGAACTTCATCCTGATTATATGACACTATCTAGTGATTTATATTCAACCTTGAAGGATATCAAAAAAGTTCAATTTTGCCGATATCAATGTTCGGAATAGTTACTTGTGTCATGGTACAGTATGGCTTGTTTTCTAATTAAAAAAATCTCATTGTCGGTTTTAGCATTGCATATTACCTATTTACTCGTTCCGATGAAAAAATTTCGTTCGATACTTTGTTGATATCAACAATCTCATTTGATTTTTGACATTTGTACTTAGATATCAGGACTCTCAACTTTTCCCATTAAACATCGGACGCTTTCATACATTTCAACAAATTGAAAACGATTTCCAGTCTCAAAGCACCAAGTCCTCTAGAGCATTTTATGCGGAAGCCTAGTCTGATTAGCTTCATCAGAATTGTAGCTTCCTAAGGAGTTCATTTGATTTCTTTCTGACAGCCGATTTGGAGAGTTTCTGTAATCACAGAACAGTTCAGACCCACAAGAGTTCAGAAAGATGTTACTAATGTCACTTCACACAAGAATTTTTCAATAGAAAATAACTTGAAACTTCCATGGCACGTGTTTTGGATTTTTAGCGACAAAACTGCAGTGACGAGACTATCAGAACTAACAATTCTACTGAGATAGTAGATATTCGAATAGATATGGTCCTGAGATCAAGATCTTCAGAGGATCCTCTTCATTTTGCCTGTCAGCAGTCTACAGAGGGAGTTCCAGACTTTACAATAGACTTTTTTCAATATCAGTTTTCTTATTATTTGATTCCTCTCGATAGGCTGCTCAGCAGATCCAGCTCAGATGAGGTATATATTTTTGAACACACATGTAGTTTGCAAATCTATTTGAAAAATATTGGCGGGAAGAGTTTGGAGAACTTGTTTTTGGGTTCTGTAACTCTACGTCAAATCCACCATTGAAATTGAAACCATCAGAATGTGTACTTGTTCTGCTTTGAGAGGTAATGTTTGGTGAAACTTTGGAAAAAATCACTGGAGCTGAGGATGGTCGCCGTGGAAAAATGCAAGTCGGAAACAACATCTCTCCCTTCTAGCAGTAGTTAAACACCCCAACCTTTTATGGCAAGTTTTCATGGTGAATTTATCGCAGACACTTTGAGGTCTCGCCATGAGGAAAGGCCTTCGAAATTCTGCAAAATATTCCACTGAATAAACAGAAAAATTATGAAGCAGTCGTGTCAGCTTTGAAGATCAGGTAGTGAGCACCTTCAACAAGTCTTACCAAGCTCAACTGAGATAACTCAAAGTCCATCTGAGGGTCTACAGGAGTTTGGGGTGGAGTAGAAAAGTTGGTAAGACTGGTCTATCAAGAAATACTCAATAAACTCACTTTCGATGTCGACATCGATGTCGATGAAACTATGGACTAGTGTCCAGGGTGTCCAGGGTTTCCTAACACTGAGCTGTCATTTATGCCTTAGAATTTGAAGCTGTCACACATGTTTTCCGCCAACAACTAGAAGTTCCAGTGAGATCCATCAACGAAAAGGAAGATGAAGAAAGAGATCGAATTATGGCAGGTCAAGAGGAACTCCCTAGGAAATACTTGACAAATGGAACTACACCTGGGGCAAGAGGGCTTTCTAAATGTTATAACTGAGATAGAGGGAAATATTTGCAGTGGATTTGTCTATTACGTTCGGCATCCGAGAAGAGAAGAGATTGGCGTTCGAGATCATCAGAACGAGAGCGCTGTGGTTTGGAAAACTGAATTCAGCCAGTGTTAGGGGGATTTGGAATAAAATACTAATGGTCGATGGCTATCTGAATGATCACCCGCACGTCTTCACCGTAGATACTGGAGCGACGAGGTCAGTAATGAGAGCCGACATTTCCAATACGAGTAGTTTGAAGGAGTAATCAGTGGTACCCTTTCTGGAAACAGTCACTGGAGATAGATTGACGGTCTATGGAGAAGCTTAAGTGAGACTTAGTCTTGGAAAAAACAATGAAATAGGAACTGATTAGTGGTCAACATCGTTGTCGAATTCATTTCGGGACTACACATCATGTCCTCCTACGGATTTATGGTGTGACTTATCCCTTGAAAAAAATAAAGCCGTCCGCCGCTGGTCTTTGTCGATCGAATGTGACGTGGTCAATGTTGCGCTCAACTCTACTTGTGCTTCTCCAACATTCTAGGTGTCACGTCGCTTTAAGAATATTTCTATCGGCTTCCGAAGACTTCCATAATAACTACCAAGAGGCAGATGAGGACTATAGTTGAAAGTGCGTTACGGAGTGAGTGAGAATAAATGATTCGTTACCTGATGAAATTCATGTTCTGTCAGGCGTTTCCCAAGGGACCGTTTTATGTCCTTATTATATAATTATAACAATTGAGCTGTTCGTAGACTGCTGCAAACTTGTTTGCAGATGACATGATGTTGGTCTGAAACGATTCTAAACTCGGAAGTGCTGTTATTCAATGTTCTTCTTCGGTATAATGATTATCTGAGACTGAATAAACTATACTTGAATGTTCCAAAAACAATAGACATGATTGTAACCTCACGTCATAGATTTAATTTTATCAATTCAAAAACTATTAGTCTCCTAATTAATACTGACCATTGAATTCATCATTCGTGTCAAATAAGTAGGTTTTCAATTGGATGATACCTCATTATTCAACCAGCATTTCCAATTTATTGACTATGAAGTCATATTTTTTTCATGAGTTGTTTCTGATGTTTCATTCAGAAGTTTCATTCTGACAATTGTGTAACAGTCTTATATGATTTCAATTTGAATAGATTAGCAAACGTTCAACAACTTCACAATCAAAAAATGTGAATAACCAATCAACATTGTGCTATCTACATTGGGTTGATTCAATATGCTTCAATTTTTATCAGTACTACCATATTAGTCCTATTATTATTATTTCAATTATCGGATAGATACTAGAGATTATCTTAAAAAATTGGTTGTATTCTTATTTCGGAAGTCACTTCTATTTTAGCGAATCCCAATACGGTTTTCGTAAAATTAGATACACTACTCAAGCTGCTTACCAAGTCGCGACGAACATTGTAGAGGGTCTTGATCAGGGTAAACATACTTCTCTAACCCTATGTGACTTGACCAAGGCTTTCGACTGTGTTTCCCAGTCTATCCTCATTCAAAAATTGAGTTATTATGGCATAAGAGGCACTGCTCTGGATCTGGTAGGGTCTTACCTTCAAAATTGGTATCAGTGCATCGACGTCAACAATATCAAGTCAGATTTAAAGCCAATTTGTCATGGCGTTCCTCAGGGTTCCGTCCTCGGCCTGTTATTATTAATCATTTATATGAATGACTTCTGTAGCTTTATTTCTCCAACAAAATGTGTTTTGTCTGCCGATGACACAACCCTTATATGCTCAGACAAATCAGATACCAGTTTACCACAAATGATGGACAGAAATAAAAACTGAACGATAGAAAACCCAGAATATTGTGATATACTCAAACACCAGTGTTACTCTACGAGACGATGTTAAGTTTCTAGGTATTCATATTGATGCTAGACTTAGTTGGTCCAGCCATATTGAAGCAACTCCTCGTGAGCTGTCTAGTGTTTTATTCGTTCTTAGACAGTTGAGAAATGCTGTAGGTTTAATGACACTGAAGATGCCATGAGAATTATGGCAAACGTAGGATAAAGGGAACACTGGAACACAGGGCAGGCGGTCCGCGAATGAAGACAAAATGCGAATAACCAAGAAAAGTACTTAATAAAAATAACTACGTAAACGCAAGCGGGACATAAGTGGAACCACCGGTACTGACGATGCCCAATAGGCTGAAACAGCTGTCTACCGGTGACTCTTAGATTGAACTGTCTCCGTCCCACAGTTGAATCTTTGGATTTCATACTCTATACGATTTCATTATACTCAACAAGGAAGTTCATTAACATTTCACGCGGAACAGTAATAAAAGTTAACTACCCGAGTTCCTCGATGTTAGCGAGCTCTCGCTCAAATCCGCCGGCTCATTTACTGCGCATCTAATATTCAGAGGCACAGCTAGATTCGCCAAGCTGCTCATTGTAATAAGCCTAATGTAGGTACTGTTATGATTTTTCTATAATTTAGTGATTATGCATTTAATTATTTACTTTTATTTCACTTCACATGTACCATATAGTTATTTTTATAATCTATGTCGTATTAAAATGTAATGAACCTTTCTTGAATATATAAATAACACGGTATTGATACACAACAAATTTAAATATGTGTCATAGTTATCCTCCTTTGAAAAATAAACCGTTTATTCTTCCAGATCGATATAACGCATCACCCCCAACATGCACTACTTTTTTCAAGCACCCGCTAACATAATGGGTAGGTGACCCAATAAACCAGAAAAATGTCTCTGGACGCCGAAAGACAATTTCTCTGTCCCCGACTGATAGACTATCTCACCATAGTCGGGACACGTTTCAGCAATAATCCTTCGAAACAACTTACCAATCCTCCGATTCAGGTAATGAATATTATTATCATTTGTTTTGTCCTTGTTGACATAATTACAAATATTTTTCATTGAATATTTTAGTATAATACTAAAAATAATTTCATACAAACACTCTTTTATTCTTTCTTATTAGTCAGTGGGCTATGCCTGAATAGAACTCTTTCATTCCATTATCAAAATACAGTGTGGTCCACTAAGTGTGCAACAAATGGGAAACTTTTTTATTATCGATTTCTCAGAAAATTTCATTCTTGACAAAAGATGGTGCATGTTCCAAAACTATACCAAGCGTAACTGAAACGGCTTCATGACAAACACCATACAGGATAGGCAAAAAATATAAAGTTCGTTCAAGAGTAAAGTACCCTTATTTCAAGAAATATAGAAATATGTTAAAGAAAAAAGTTGCTTGGAATTAAAAGTTATGTTCAGATACGAAGTCATGGCCTGCTATTCAATTTTTTTTCTTTTGGAAAATTTTTAATTACCCCCGTATAATACATATTTTTGTTGCTATTTCGATTTGAAATGTATCTGAAGTAGCCACAATCAAATCAGTTTGGATTATTTTTCATCAAATTAAAGTGTATTTGTAAAATTTACTTGGATTTGTATTTTTT